TTCTCAATGTTGCATGGACTCCCCTAAATGGTTGAAGGGTCTATGTCAGACATGTGTCTGATTCCAAGACTCCAATGGATATGACATTAAACCGTCAATGTACATAATGAATGCCATTTTTCCTACAGAAGTTAAGTAACAAGAGACCTTTTTTTCTGTAGGCATATGGTGTTACAATTCAAAAATATATGGTTTATTTTAATTGTATTTACTTTTCTGTATACATATTTGTGACTTGATTTTTTTTTTTTTTATTTTGCTGAGTTAGACCCCTGGACATGTGTTGGAATCCAATTGCTATGTTTGTCCAGGCAACACTGTTATTCACTCGAAGCCAAGTCCCCTTGCATACTCCAAATTACTTTGATGCTACTCTCTTGAACAATAATTTTTCGTGAAAGATGTTTTTGAGGTCTCACAAAACTATGCTGTGCCTAAAGATCAAGTCACTTATCAGATAATCGGTTGGAAGACATCTAAGGTTAGTTCTGAAACTTTTGTTTTTAACTTGACGCAGGTTACTGGCTCCATTTATTTCCTCTGGCATATTTTGGGAAATTGTGAAGTTATGGATGAAAGGCTCCGAGGTTATTGTTCTTGATGTGCCACTGCTATTTGAGGCTAAGATGGACCGATGGACAAAACCTATAATTGTCGTATGGATCAATCCTGAGACGCAGCTTCAGCGACTCATGAATAGGGATGGAATATCGGAAGAACAAGCCATAAACAGAAYCAATGCTCAGATGGCACTAGATTTGAAAAGGACAAAAGCAGATATTGTGATTGATAACTCAGGGACAATGGAAGAAATGAAGGAACAATTTGAGAAGGTATTTGTTCAGGTCACTAGGCCTTTAACATGGAAGGAATTTGGGATGTCTAGGAATGGTGCCCTTTGGGCTATCGTTTCTATAGTTGTAGCTGTTCTTGTGTACAGGAACACTTAACAGCAGCATTGATGGTCTATAGCCACAAGTCTTCTCAAAGCGGTGGTGATYAGGTGGAAATAGAAGAAACAAATTGATTTCGCTCATTTATTTGCTTTGAACCTATCTGGGATCATCATCTATCAAGTCCTGTTTTTTTTCTTTCTTTCTAGAAATATATGCTTATCAATGACTGATGGATCATTTGCATATCAATCTCACAAATTTTACTTACCATAAAAAAACCATTAAAACATATAATTAGGAATTGTTTTATAAATTGACTTTTTTTAAATTTTTTGAAAAATCCATGGATCTACTATTACAAGTAAAAATATCACAAATTTAACAAGAAATCAACATATCAATGCATTTTTACACATCCAAATACATATCATATCGCTAATTTGAAATTTGGCTCTGCAATGAAAGATCTTTTAAAAACAGGAAGCCAGTTGTCATCACAAGATGTATCAGGTTTCACTGTTCACATTATGTAATAAAGGTTCAAAATATCAATACGGGCATATCGGGCGATGTCGATATTTTTTTTTTTACTTATTTATTCTTTTTTTTTCAAAATTAGTTCGGGGGGTTGGTTTAAGGCTCCCTTTGTAGGGGCATATCGGAGAGCTCCTAGAATGATATGTATATCGGATAACTCCTGGAATGATATGTATCAATCGGTATACCTTGAACCTTGCCTATAAATACTTATAAATACTTTAACTCAAACCCTAAGATATGCTGAACATTGATCTTCCATTAAATTTATTATTTGATATTTTAGTGCCGGAGCTAAATATTCTGTACAATTGCACAGTAGTATGTAAAGAAAAAAAAGCAACAAACAAAAAGGAAAACCCAGCATATCGTTTTATTATTTGACCATTAAATAATGTAATACCTAATGAACAACCAAGATATGACTCCACA